ATCACTTAAATTGGGGTTGATGATGTAATAGGCGAAGGTTAACGTTCCCTAACAACGCATGCTACCTGTCAGTCAATTTTACCTGTCCTAAACATTTTCTCTCACCTGCTGGCCATCAAACGTCTATACAGGTTAAATATAATAAAATGAGGGATATTTCCGGCCACACACACACCAGAATCACTGACCCGGACACAGTCATTACACCACTATTGCCCAACTCAGTACAGTAGCACCATGGCGAGTCATCACGGTCACACTCCTAATCAAACGCAATATTGTCCCCGGAGTTTCACTTTACTGCAACTAGAGCATAACGTGTTGTCCTCGGTGCTCCTCTAGCGGGGCCCCCTGAAACACATTCCCGCCACGACCCACCCCTCCAACCTCACTCTTGAGCCCCTAATTCTAAAGACTCGTTCCCCCTGTCTGGTCCGCCTTGTCCCTCCCTCCCTCCCCCAGCCCACAATAGAGTTACTGCCACTTAAACTAACACCGTCACCCCCAGTTGTATCAGACAGTTAAGAGCCTCTCCTTCCTTCCCTCGAAAAAAGGTGTCCATATTCCTCCTGTACCCTTGGTCGTGACAGCTACAAGCCCGGCAAGCTAATATTCTCCAACTTTCACTCTCTGGGCCCTCGATAACGACCTCAAAACTGCCAGTCCCAGCCTCACCACCCATCTTGTATACTACCCCCCGCCGCCACCTCCTCCTCTCGCTTTCCCTCTCTCCTTTCTACACTTTCACGCAATGTAATTAATGATGCTTTCCCTTTGAAACCTCTTACATTCTTCCTTCGACCTTTCACTCCCTTTCCCTCCATCCCCGTATCTCACTTTCACTTAAACACCTCCCCTTTCTTCCACCTCTCGACCAACATTCCTTCCTTCCTTCCCTACAACACATCTGCCTCCTTTCTCTTCAACTCCATACTCCCGTCTACCCCTCAGCCACCATCTCTTCTTCCTTCCCTCAACATACACCACCCTCTCCACCTTCAAACACACTTGCCTCAACCCCTCATTCAGCGCCCCCTTCCTTTCACCCCTCCCAGTCATACTCCACACCTCTTTCACCACTCAACCACCACATCCCTTCCTTCCCTCACACTTCTCACCCCACATCAACTCTCTCCTTCCTTCCTTCCTTCCCTCAGGCGACCCCACACAATTGATCGTGACCTCCCCTACGAGCGGTTTATGTCGATAGCGAGGGAGGGGCGAAGCTGTGGACGGAGTAGATAGAGTCAGTCATCACGGGTCAGTCACCACAGGAGGGAGTTTCAGGCGTCGCTCCGCTCTGATTGTCACTCACTGTTGCATCCTTCATAAAAAAAACAAAACTCACCAGTCAGCCAGCATCACCAGACCTGCTGCCACTTGGTCCTCACTGCCACTAGTCTTGGGTCCAGGTTCTTAATGACTTGTATTTACTGTTCCTTCGCAAAATGGAGAATGAGAGAGCTTTTTTTTCGTCACGACATTCTCTCAACCGCACTTTTATTTTATAGACCAGTTAAAGTTACCGTCTCTGTGCCGTAAAGCGAAACAGTTCCAGTTAGAGAAAGTGTTTAACGTACGACCCTTTGAGAGTCCACAGTGGTTTATAGGACACAGGGAGGAGATGGGACACGATGCTGGTACGCGGACACACACACAAATTCTTGGATGTCCGTATGAGGGGACCATAAACATCACAAGAGGCTCCCAGCTGAAGGTGTCTGACAGCAGGAGATGAATCACTCTCAGTTGCTGGGTTATCGGGACTCTCTCTCTCTCACCCACAATAAACAAATCCCTTGAACAACGAGATATATTGTTATACCTTCCATGCAAATATCGGGATACTTCCACTAATTTGGGTCAAATATTCTTTCTGCTGCCTATGTAATCTGCTAACTGGTCTTTGGGAATAATAAAAAAAGATATATATATATTCCTGTACTGATTTGAACATAAACAAAACTATTAATAATAATAATGCACACAGGCCAAGGAGGTGCCACGTATCACACGAATTTTCCTGAAAAATTTGACCCAATCACAAAATCTTACACTCGCCCCCTGTCGAAAAAGTGACACGCCAAGACACCTCACTCGACATTCTGGTGACACAAGTGAAAAACATTTCCATAAGACCATTGATGTTTGACTTGGTCTATAGTCGATACCTTTGACGTCTCCGAGATTCCTTTTACTTGTGAGAATAAATAAATAGACAAATTAAATATATAAACAGTATACATAATTTTAAAACAATAATTAGAATAGATTTAGTTTAGTTTTTCCTTATATAGTTACACACACACACACACACACACACACTTCATTCACTGCCATTCATTCTTACTCCCACAATACAAGACCAACTACGATACTACTACTACTACAAAAGGCCACAAACTAAAAATATAAACAAAATAACAAAAAAATTCAGTTGGATAGAGTTCTCATAGTATTTCATTCCCTTTGATAAATATTAAGTTTAGTCTCCCTTTGTACATGAATGATTTTCTGATTGCCTTTGACGAGCCAGTTAATCTGATTTCCATTGACATAGTTATAGACACTGTGTATATCTTTAGTTCGCAGATAAAACATGGATGAGTAGATTAAGTCCGTCCTGATAGACCAAGAGTAGGTTCTGATTGTTTATGTTATTGTTTGTAATCTGATTGTTTCTTTTATAAACCTTATTTGTTTCGTTTTTTAACACAATCACAAAACCAACGTGTGTGTGAAAGTTTCTCCCTAATGAACCATCAATATCCCCCCCCCCCCCAACCACCGGCGGTCATGAGCTGTTCTGGTCAGGTTACTTTCATTGCGAATTCCATTGATACGAGAGGCCTTATACCACACCTGGGCCTAGCAGGGGTGAGGCACCCGGTAGGGGCATGGTATTTGGTAGGGAGGATGTATGGGGTGGTACCTGGTCGTAGGGGAGTGTAGGGGGTGGTACCGAGTAGGGAAGGCGGGAGGGGGACCTGACCCTAGTCACACAGGTGCTAAACTGGGAATGCACGAGTCATGGCTAACCTTCAGGGAGCGCTGCCAGGCGAGCCACAAGTGCCGTTCACGTAAATTGCTCGTTGTTGGTCGTCTGTTTTTTCCCTCCACCACTGCAGTCACCAACAAAGGAAAATAACCTTCAAATTTCCTCGATCACAAAGAAAGAAAAATGCAATGTAATTGATCAATAAAGTGTGAAGAAGGTAATTAAGGTGATAACAGGTAGACGTGAACACCTTGATAACGAGATGTGCAAGATAACAGTTTAAAAAGTTCCGCCAATAGCCTATAATACGTCAGAGGATCGTCTTAGTGTTAATTACCGTATGGCTGTATAATGGTCGACACTGCCCCACCGTCTATTAATATTAATGAAAAATATTAGGAAAATAATTGAATAAGAGTTATTGGGTAACGTCAAGAATTCGTGTTAATTAAACGATCTACTGAACTCAATAGATGTGAGCATTACAGCCTCGTGACCTTGAACACTAGGTATAAACCCAGTCCTCACGTGAGTAACTCGGCACCTCATGACCACACCTCAGAAACAACATAGACCTGTGGGTAAACTAGACAACAGGGTCAACCAGCGTCTCAGGTATTATACAAGGAAGCGAAGCAGCAGAAACAACCTCTAATGTCTGTAACAGTGCCAATTAGTACCGAATTTTGTTACGTAAATAATTGAAGATCCGGCACAGTTTTGACTCCTCCCAGGGCACAAGAGGTAGTATAAGGTATAAGTAATTACAATAGTCACTTGTCACCTCACCATCTACCGCCCAGAAGGTATTGTAAACAAGTGTAAATTTTCGGGTAAACACACAGAGTACATGAACGTTGTATCAAAGGACAAAAATCTTGATATACGAGATGGAATTAAAATCGTTGTAGTATTATTAAAGGGACGTTGAGACAGAAGCAGGTTGACGACAACACACTTATGCCTCGTCTTTACTAATCCACCTTTAACCTGCGGGTAGTCATGCAGGACCTGGCAAGTAGTTCAAGATCACTGCGACACGAAATCAATATTAACTCCAGTGTCACGCATTTCAAGAAATATGGTAGGTGGAGAAGCTAAAAATAACTCGTTGAATGAATGACGGCACCATATGAATCTCCGTAACCTCTCCCCGTCCAGTAAATTGCTAACGCCCGTATTATTAAACAAGATCTTCCCTTGAAGAGGGTCGTCGTGTTTCAACCCGAGTTTTAAACTAAATGAGTCCTGAGGGACACCGCAGTGCAGGACTCATTTAGTTTAAAACTCGGGTTGAAACACGACGACCCTCTTCAAGGGAAGATCTTGTTTAATAATTCGGGCGTAAGACTCGGTGAGACTGGCGGGTGATGCCGGGTAGGCCTAGGCCAGCGAGGGACGCCAGGCCAGGCAGCAGCGTCGCGAGGCCAAAATCTACTTAAAACACGTATCTCCCTGAGCCACTTGGCCTAAGACATTGACTACCAGCTTGGGAGATGCATAGGGTCACAAGGGTGTTAAATCCCTGGTTGTGTGGCCCGCGGAAGGTGGCCCAGTCACGTGATTCCTGTAGGAGCTGCCGCGTCCACTACGATCGATGGGTCGCCGCCTCCACCCTCTTGCTTCTACCGACTGTCAGGGAGTTAGGACTGGTCTGTCACAGTTATAACATCAACTGACTGCACAGTCACCCAACCCCCACCCTCGGGACAAACAAACCAGTTTTGCACAAGTCTCACAGAAGACTACACACCACCACCCTAACAACACACAAGAAAACATTCCTTCCTCCGGTGGTCTGTCTCAACACAAGCTAGTAGGAGCTTAAAGATTTTTCATGAACGAAGAAGTACAGTACTGTTACGAGAATTAATAATTATTGATCTTGTGGCTGGGTTAGATCCGAGGCCCAACTTAGCCAAGTTGATGGGTGTTGTCTCAACTTTATTTTGCACCAAGTAAAGTGTCAGCCACGTGCAATACTAATTTCACAAACTCTTACCTTGTGTGGACTAAAGACGGTGGACTGTCAATAATATCAGCAGCTGTACAGACTAGGAAAACAGCGGCTTATTTGTGGCATAAATTTCTACACCCTCAATTATGTCTGCATCTAAAGTTCGATTCCACAAAAGAAATTATCTCGATCAACTCAGTGTAATGACAGAGACACTCTTTACTTCAGGTGTGTTATGACGGAGCACTGTGAGGGGTGTCGTTACGGTGGAGCACAGTTCACACTCCCTATCTCGCTTGGTGCCTGAGAGCAACTGAGGCCGCCCCGCTCCCCGACATGTTGATGGTGTAGTAGCAGACGACGCTCCCAGCCCCAAGTTGCCACCTACCTCATTATTCCTCACCGATGACGCAGCCTCGTAACTTGTGATAATTAACCTGGCGAAATTTACGTTACATCAAAGACATACAACACCACTAATTAATTTATCATTATTGCACTATACAGACATTAGCTACAATCGGTAAATAGTTACAAAAAATCTGATTACAAGGAAAAACAGCAAAGAAAAATAAAATAAAATACCTGTATTTCTTAAACGTAGCTGAACGGCGTATTGAAGGGATCGTCATTTTAAATCCAGCTTTACCGAAATAACTAACACCCAGAGCGATTAATATTTATATGGTTGTGAATCCTGTGACTCACTCAGGTTTCTGGTTCAGTTCAGATCATTCAACGGGATGTGAATGCAACATGAGAAGTAAGAATGAAACGTGAGAGGTACGAACAAAGCAAGTTGGAATGATTCGAGAGACACACGAATGAAACAAATGAGACATCAATAAAACGGTTCGTTCAGATCATTCAACGGGATGTGAATGCAACATGAGAAGTAAGAATGAAACGTGAGAGGTACGAACAAAGCAAGTTGGAATGATTCGAGAGACACACGAATGAAACAAATGAGACATCAATAAAACGAACGAGACATAAATCAAACAAAAAAAGTCATAAATGAAACAAGAAACAAAAATGAAATAAACGAAACACAAAAAACTAGTGTGCCTAATGTTCACGTGATTCTTATATCATATTGACGGGATTGTTAAGTTGAAGATCTGAGAGCAAGGTGTTGTCTTATGTCCTACGAGAATTCCCATCATAAATCACCCCAGACGTCATCTCTCACCTGGGAAATTAATCTCTAGTGTCATAGAAATAGAGTGTTAGTGTAGATATGGTGTTAAGGATAGTCGTTCATCTTGTGGTGTTATGGTGATAGAACAGATGGTGGAGATATATAATGCTTTTTTAATGGTGAAATTTTGGAGCCTTGAATTCCTGTTGGTGGGGGTCTCTCTCTCTCTCTCTCTCTCTCTCTCTCTCTCTCTCTCTCTCTCTCTCTCCTCATGCACATACAGTCGTTACCTCCACCACTGACGACCACCAAACATCAATTTCCATTCCCTGTGACCTAAGTGTTTGGAGGAAGAGGAGGAGCAAGGACAAGAGGAGGGGCAGGAGGAAGAAGGAAGAGGGGCAGGGGGAAGAAGGAAGATGACCAGGAGGAGGAGGAGAAGGAAGAGCTGGGGTAGGTGGTGAAGTAACAGGAGGAACAGAAGGAGGAGGGTAGGAGAAACATGAGGAAGAGGAGGATGAATAGGAAAAGGCGGAGAAGGAGAAGGAAGAGGAGGGGGAAGAGGAGGGCTCGTCTCTCTCTCGTGAATTGCGGTGTAAAATGATTCTATTGGGAAACATTTGTCAGAACAGGAGGAGGAAGAGGAGGAAATTGGCTCTTGGCTGTGTGTGTGTGTGTGTGTGTGTGTGTGTGTGTGTGTGTGTGTTCATATGGTGTAAATAACAACTACAAACAGCCAATTAATAGTCCAAACACCTCTTTTATAAACCCTGGCCACTGATGACGTCAATTACACACCGTCCTCATTCTAATGCTTCCTGAAGCTTGAAGGCACCCCACTCACTCACTCACTCACTCACTCACTCACTCACTCACTCACTCCAGGGAAGAAATATAATAATTTGTGGATCACTAACAAGCCATTACACACTCTAACCTAACCTAATGAGTTGTGCTTACGAAGACAAATTTACATACGTCAGCTCCTGACTCAGTATTTCACTCTCCTCCCGCACTCCCTCCCACTCACTCCTCACTCCTCCCACTCACTCACTCACTCACTCACTCACTCACTCACTCCAGGGAAGAAATATAATAATTTGTGGATCACTAACAAGACATTACACACTCTAGCCTAACCTAACCTAATGAGTTGTGCTTACGAAGACAAATTTATATACGTATGGCTATACCTATATAAGGACACTGATAAATTGGACTCACACACACACACACACACACAAGCACACACACACACACACACACACACACACACACACACACACACACACACACACACACACACACACACACACACACACACAATCTTATTATCATTGTGACATATTGCTACAAGCTCTGTGTATAGTAAGCAGCTATGTTGAACAATAAATATATGAGAGAGAGAGAGAGAGAGAGAGAGAAAATACAATAGTTATCCCTACTCCGTACTCTCTATATGCAAATTCAGGGAATCTTAGAAAATGGGACTGTCAAAATATTGCTGCTGCATCTCCTATTATTACTATGGGCTTTACCACACCTATATCTCTTCCCATACATGACGAAGAAGGGAGAGAGATAAACAGACTGATAAATGAATAGATTGAAAGCACAAGAGAGAAGAGGAGAAGAGGAGGAGGAACGTAAAACCAATTAAATCTTCTCTAAAAATATAAAAACAATTTACTTTCAATAATATCACAGGTCACAGTGACGTCATAGACTGTGTATATTTTTATCTTAAACTTGATAACATTTCAGAAGAGTAATTAATTGTGGTTACATATAATTCACAGCTAATTAACGTGTGGAAAAGTGGCAATTAAAAGTGAGGTATATATTATTTACTGATGGAGTTGATCCACTCATTTATCAGATTGGATGAGAAGAAATGAAGAATTGATGCATATGACAGACAGACACGACTGAGAAAGAGACAGACACGACTGAGAAAGAGACAGACACGACTGAGAAAGAGACAGACACGACTGAGAAAGAGACAGACACGACTGAGAAAGAGACAGACACGACTGAGAAAGAGACATAAATGGCTGAGGAAGGCAGACACGACTCAGAGACAGACATGATTGAGAAACACAAATCTGGTTGAGAAATAGACAGACACGTGGCTAAGAAAAACATAAGACTAAGAAACAAGAAAAAAAAACACCGCCTAGGAGTTGAGTATGAGGTGCACAATAAACTAGTCGATGTCCGCCAGTGAGTATAATGAACACGAAGGTGACTCAGCATTTTTTGGTCTTACTCACTGTTGGGTTCAGTCTTTAGTCCATTAACTTTTAAAATAACTATTGTGTTTTCTTCATGTTGTATTCACGTCCCGAAATACCATCAATTAACCTGACTGTCCACCTGATTTTGATTGCCAATAAATATATCAGATACTTAAAGAAATAAAAACTTCGATGATATTAATTTTCTTCGAGGGTAAAAATATTTCCTGGGGGAGGCGTGGTCGAGGCGGGAGGAGTGTATAAAATGAGAGAGGTTACAGGCAGACAGTACTCACGAGGCAGGTTCTCATCACGACTCCCAGGACACAGTACTCACGAGGCAGGTTCTCATCACGACTCCCAGGACACAGTACTCACGAGGCAGGTTCTCATCACGACTCCCAGGACACAGTACTCACGAGGCAGGTTCTCATCACGACTCCCAGGACACAGCACTCACCAGGCAGATACATAATACTGGTAATACTTAAAGAACTCCATGGATATTACTTGTTATTTTTATTTTATCTCAACTATAACTTTAAAAACTAGAAACTGAATGTCTTTATTTATTTCAATATCTTAGTCATACGAAATTGTAATACAGTTGTGTCGAGAAGAAACATAATTACGGTATAACAGTATTTCTGAAAGCTCCTCAAAGATATATATTATATCTTAAATGTTTCGTATATTTAAGTATTAAAAATAAACTTGGTACAGATGGTATTATCAGTGAAAATGTCCTCCTTACGACAGCATTCAAGGGAGTGTTGGTGGGAGGAGATATCCGTGTTTTGGTCGGTTAGAGTGCAAGATGCAGGAGTCGGGGCTGACATCTGCTGTGCCTACTGACCGTTGCCTGTTAGTGGCCGTCTCACAGGTCAGCCCTCATACCTCCTCCTAAACACCTCTACAGTACATATTACACACCAGTAAATTGTCACTTTTTTTTAGCATGTCAGCCGTAATTGTTCAAAAGCTTATATATTAAGTAATGTTGTTAGTCTTACGATGAATTTCAGCATAATAATAAATTGAACTGAGTAAAATATAAAATAACACTTATCTCAACTGTGTTTATATATAAAGTGATATGAGGTTTACTCAGTGGCCGCCCTATGTGATGGGGAACTTCCCGGACTATACAGGCGCCTCTATCGATATCTTTAAAGTCATTCAGAAGAAACTTGGATTCTGGTAAGTGAAGCTGGACTAACTTTCGTAACCACTTGATCCTCTTACTTTCCAAACTTTAGTAATTTCACTAAAATATCCAACTTAGAAGCATAAATAGTAAGTGTGTCTTTATCGTTAATTTAAGACAAAAGTACAATATCCTTTATTAAGTTATACGACATTTATGAAAGTTTGTAAGTAACCGGAACCTTCAATATTAATGCGCTAAAAATTAAATTCCTTTACTCGAGCCCTTTATAGGTGTTAGCCCTCCATTATACCACGTTTTCTGTTACAAGCAACAAATGCCGTATTTTCTAGATCTTAAATCAATTCAGTAACTTGTAATACTCTATTTCAATTAGGATTCCTGCGTATCTCTCTTTATTCTTAAACACTGATCAATAGTGCATTAACTTAAATAGAATACACGCCTCAAGACTAAAGTTGCAGAAGCGTAGTAATGCAATATACACAACACCAACACTCCATCGTTGTCTCACCTTAGCGGATATTTAACGTCTGAATGTCAATGATCAACAAAACCATAATAATTAGGTTATTATTAAAGTGAAACAGACTGCTACTGAACCCATTTATGGATTAGAAATTAAGTTTGTCAGTGCGTGTATATTCAGTGATTGGGGTTAAGCTTAAAAGAGGAAGAGTAGGAAGATGAGGAGGAGGAGGAGGAGGCGTTAATTACTCTCTTCACTCAATGTTTTTAAATTTTCGTTGGGATATAAAATAACATGATTTTGTTTTCGATCGCACGCATGAGAGTTTGATCCTCTTCACTGATCTCCCTGACGCAGCTACGAGTTCATGCGTCCTCCTGATGGCCTGTGGGGGGCTCCTCTCCGTAATGGCTCCTGGTTCGGCATGATGGGAATGATGCAGCGCAAGGTGAGGCATGATCTGAGGTGGTGAGTCTTATGCGTAGTGACTCATGGTGTAGGGTGAGGCATGATGCGGGGTAAATCAAAACATAAACCTAACCTTACCTGATATTATGAGTTGAAGAATATTGACGTAACGTAACTAAGACTGTCCCTAGTGGCAGTGTTTAGTTAAATTTTGTCAAGTGGGAATTCGTCCGTGCCAAGTGACGATCGGTCCGTGTCGGCAGGAAGCGGACATGGCAATCGGACCGTTCGGGGTGACACTGTCCCGATCGTCGGTGGCCGACTTTAGCGTCCCGATTTTGTCGACCGATCACACCATCTTTTATCCCCGGCCGCTGGTCGAGCCCGACCTGCTAGGCTTCACCAAGGCTTTCACTCTCACCGTGAGTACCTGCCACACTTCTCTGTTGGATCTTATGTACTTGCATGTACTGTACAGTCGCCTCCAGGTGTGATGCTACGCCCTACCCTGCCTCCTTGTTCATGTGGCACCGTGGCACTACTCGTGTGACCAGTGTAGGGAATTGATTGTGGGCTGTTGTCTAGTGCTCATTTTTGCCAGTATTGCATACTTGTATTAATAATCGAAAGAAAAATTTTCAACGAAAGTAATACATATTTTGGTTTCTGTAACATACTATATGATATCACTTACGAAAAAAACAAACATTGAAGAATGAGACGTGCTGTGTATGTGTGTGTGTGTGTGTTCTGTATTGCAGGTGTGGGCGGCGGTGTTGGCCAGCCTGGTGGTAGTCACGGCAGCAGCCCTCATCTGTCACTTCATCTCACCGCCCAGGTGAGTCTTACCCTCCCGTGACGTTGCTTCCTTGTCCTCTATCACGTCTTAGTACCTACTGATGCTCGTGTACAAAACGTCAACCTTTATTCTTCCGCTACAGAATTATAAAAAATAAACCTATAATTTCTCTCAGTAGACGTTTGTACCTTAAAACCTGAGTTGTATTTCATTAATTTTTTGTTTTAATTAGATTCGTCATACGAGGTACAGTACAGTCGTCCATCACCAGTAATCACTCCATCTCAAACTGTCCGCTCTCCCCTGCACACTGTTGCTTCCTCCTCACTCCATTTTTCCATTTCTTTCTTGGTATTCCCTCTCCCTCCTACCATCCACCTTTAGTACACCAGTTTTTCACCTCCCATTCTCGCAATATACACAAATATGAATAAACTTACCACGAACGGATGGACACAGCTAGAGCGATAATGATCACTTTCAATTCTTCCCACTGTGTCGCTGTCCACCGCTCACCACCACGTCAAGATATACACTGACGGTAGCACAGCCGTACCCAGGATAAACACCAGCAAGGAGATTCATAGTCAGGATGGGTCTCTGGGAGCGTAGTTAACCGCCCTGTTTCTCCAGCTGTAGTAGAGTAGTTAGTGTGGTTGTTAGACAGTTTTCAGACAGAGGCGATGGTATTTTGTTATCTATAAATTGTATTCAGTGATGTAAGGCGTATGTTGATGTATTTTTTAAACAATTACAGATAGATGGGAAATATTTATCAACTGTTAATGGCCTTCATAGATGAGGTATTAAATTAATCTCCATTTTAAGAATAAAATTTTATTAGTAAATATGTCTCTACGAGCGTTAGTCCATAAGTGTTAATACATATTCATAAAACAGACAGACAGACAAACAGACAAACAGATAGACAGACAAACAGACAGAAAGACAGAAAGACAGACAGACGGACAGACAGACAGACAGACAGACACACACACACACACACACACACACACACGATGAGTTACTAGTTAATAAAGAGACATAACCTTTCTCTCCCTTACCACGAAGAGGAAAACGTGAACCAGTTGAGGGGGCTGAAGATGTCTCAGCCCTCACCTCTCACCCAGCCCCCCACGACAGACTCTCATGGTTATGGGGCTACATGGTTCTTCTCGGTCAAGGTGAGTTTTGGTAGGGCCTGAGGGGGTCTGCTTGGGTCTGGATACATCATAGTGAGTCTAGTCGGGTGAAAAGGTTAATTAGACGATTATGACGATTAATATGACGATTTTACTGAATATCTCTCTATCTATCTATCTGGCAGTGTTGTTGAAGAGGAAGAGTGGAGCAGGAGAGAGAGTGGTGGTAGCAGTGTGGCTTCTCGCGTCCCTCATCTTGGCGGTGGTGTACAAGAGTAACCTCAAGGCTTTACTCATCGTCCCTAAGGTAAACAGTACACTAATAGGTTGCTACGCCTCCATTATCCCTCAACACTCTATAAAAATTCTTCTGCATCATCAAACTCATAAAGGATTGAAGACTTTTCCTGGGCTGATACACACACTCACTCCACCTGATAGTATGTTCCAGTGTTGTGGTGTAATACTGAACTACGATATTACAATGGCACAACCAGTTTCAATGTTTTTTTTTTTACAATGGAAGGAAACGTATTGAAGCCTCGTCATAATTTATGGGCTAACCCCTTGTGTATGGTGTCCTCTCTGTGCTGGGTAAAATGATCTAGAGTTATCCCAATAAGATATTAAAAGTGGCGTCCCAGTAGTGAAGATAAGGACCACAACACAGGACCCAGTGACTGCTTACGGGTTTGTTTTTCTTTTACTTGTAGGTGAGGATCCCCTTCGACTCCCTGGAAGAGTTGGTCACCCAGGACGAGATGAAGTGGAACTTCCCTAAGGGCTCCATCGTGCAAAGCTTCTTCGAGGTAAACACAACTACAGGAACACCACACTTTTTTACTGTTTAATCTAGGTCAAAAATTATAGTCCTTGTATTATAGCTTCACCTCAACAAGCAGTGCTGACCTTACATTATATACAGTGTAATTATTATCTTCTCTAACTAAAATATTCTCAAAATCACAACAAGACTTTACATTACTGTAACTTTAATCATAATCCAATGAAACTTAAACCTCCAATAACATCACATCTCAACTATTCTCGATCAAACTCTATTGTGGCATCTCCTGCAGGCGGCCTACGCGGAGAACGCCACCTCTACCATGGGTCTTGGGTGGGCGGGGCATTACAATCTCCTCCTTCTACCCAGGTCGAGCATCCCTAGTGCCTTGAGTGGTGTAGCAGGTATGTAGTGTGGTAGGCGTGTGGTGTGGTAGGTATGTAGTGTGGTAGGCGTGTGGTGTGGTAGGTAAGTAGTGTTGGAAATAAAAGTAACAAAACACACTCTCTCTCTCTCTCTCTCTCACCTGTACGTACTCTTCTCTCCCCAGGTCTACTCACTCGTCACTCTTCTATATACATGATGGCACAAGACTTCTCACAGGTAAGTCAAGACGACAGGTGATACCCTCATCTCACCTGTCTCTGAGTGATGATGAGACTGACTGAGTGAGAGAAAGGCGAAAGAGTGAGAGGCGAAAGAAGGAGAGAAAGGAAGGAAAGGAGAACTGTGCAAAAAAAAAAACGAGGGGACGGTAAGTGACTGTCTCCAAGTGCACCAGTCATTGAAGTCCTGATGGTGACTGTTATAGACTGTTACTATGAGTGGTATGTAAGTGGAAGAAATAAAAGCTAAGACCGACTTTAACTCATGAAAAAATAATTTGGGAAGATAATAAGAATTGGAGAAAGTGTCTTTGAGTGTGAACATTATACGTCAAAGGGTTTCACGTGTTTAGGAAAATTAATATTACTTTGTTTCATGGCGAGTCAGCGAGGGTTGTGTCGGCTGGCGATCACAAGGGGAGGCTTCATGGCCGTACAGTATAGTATGGCCTTCCCTCTCAACTCCTCCCTCAGGCCCGTCGTCGACCAACTGTGAGTTCAAGGAGGGTAACCTATGGTCCTCTGCTTGCTGCCACACACACATCTCCCTCAACCTTATACTGACTCCCTCTCACGTAGTCTCCCTCTCTCACTGTAGTCTACTGCCCGTCTTTTGTATCTTTATGTATTCTCATGTATACTGTACTCCTTTCAAACTCACACTTAATGTACTCTTATCACTTTGTTCATAAATGTATAATATTCCCCCTATCCTAATTGTTAGTTAAAATCCCATACTCTTTTATATCTGTCCTTAAGTTCATCACCAACGAGCCATCCATAATCCTGTTCGTCAATTGTTTTTTTTTTTCATCCAGGATCTACCATATGGGTGAGTTTGGTCTTTTGGATAAGTACCTCCGGGCTGACATAAGCAACACGACACACTGCCTCCAGCCTCCGGGACGAGAAGACTACCGCTCTGACCGTAAGCTGGCCATTGGTGACTTCCTCGGTGTGTTCAGTCTCTACGCTGCTGGTGAGGTCATGAGGTCATATTTGAAGATGGTAGGGTCAAGGAGGAAAGTCATAAAATTTGGGATCAGGGAGGATGGTCATGGATTTGGGGTCAAGGAGAAAGGTCATGAACTTGGGGACAGGGAAGAAGGTCATGAATTTTGGGTCAGGGAGAATGGTCATGAACTTAGTGTCGTTGAGGAGAAGAATCACGATCTTAAAATCAACTTTACATCCACTCATGTCAACAAACCTCAATCTTACCTATTTTAATGACCCAATTACACGGTGTAATAAGGAACGTTCACCTAACATTCACATACTCGTCAAATTCTCTTCCTTAACAACTTTTTAACTAATATTTACTCATTTATGCCCCCCCAAAATTAACTAATCTCTAACAAGAATTATAATCCGCCTAGCTGGTCAACTTTGTACACAAGGAGGTGGGAACTATACTTATTTTGTGATCATTGTAGAGTGACATGTGGCCTATTAATTTACTCACCTGACAGGGGTGGTGGGGAGCGTGGTGGTGTTCCTGGTGGAGGTGGTGAGTGACCATTGGTGGAGATGGTGAGTGACTGCATCGTGTTCCTGGTGGAGGTGGTGAGTGACCATTGGTGGAGATGGTGAGTGACTGCATCGTGTTCCTGGTGGAGGTGGTGAGTGACAGGAATCACTACAACCTACCTGACGACACCTGCAGAACCACAGGAGCTCAAACCTCGACTACAACTACTACTACTGTATTTATCTGTATGTTCACACTCTTTCATACGTACACACACCACAGATATACAGAGAGAGAGAGAGAGAGAGAGATAGAGAGATAGAGAGAGACAGAGAGAGAGAGAGACTTGAAAATATTACAGATTGCACTAATATCTCAACGCCGTACTCTACTATATCGTCTACTTGTACTCTACTGTTGTACTATATCGTCTACTTGTACTCTACTGTTGTACTATATCGTCTACTTGTACTCTACTGTTGTACTATATCGTCTACTTGTACTCTACTGTTGTACTATATCGTCTACTTGTACTCTACTGTTGTACTATATCGTCTACTTGTACTCTACTGTTGTACTATATCGTCTACTTGTACTCTACTGTTGTACTATATCGTCTACTTGTACTCAACTGTTGTACTATATCGTCTACTTGTACTCTACTATTCTACAATACTCTATCGTCCACTTGTACTCTACTCTATCGTCCACTTGTACTCTACTCTATCGTCCACTTGTACTCTAGTACTCTACTATATCGTTTACTTGTACTCTACTACAGGTATATCGTCCACTTGTACTCTACTCTATCGTCTACTTGTACTCTACTACTCTACAGTACCTTATCGTCTACTTGTACTCGACTGCTCTACTATATCGTCCACTTGTACTCTAGTACTCTACTATATCGTCTACTTGTACTCTACTATATCGTCCACTTGTACTCTACTATATCGTCCACCTGTACTCTACTCTATCGTCCACTTGTACTCTAGTACTCTACTATATCATCTACTTGTACTCTGCTCTATCGTCCACCTGTACTCTACTACATCGTTCACTTGTACTCTACTACTCTACAGTACCCTATCGTGTACTTGTACTCTACTGTACTCTATCGTCTACTTGTACTCTACTGCTCTACTTGTACTCTCCACCTGTACTCTACTATATCGTCCACCTGTACTCTGCCCTATCGTCTACTTGTACTCTACTACTCTACAGTACTCTATCGTCCACCTGTACTTTACTATATCGTCCACTTGTACTCTACTACTCTACAGTACTCTATCGTCCACCTGTACTCTACCCTATCGTCTACTTGTACTCTACTACTCTACAGTACTCTATCGTCCACCTGTACTCTACTATATCGTCCACTTGTACTCTACTACTCTACAGTACTCTATCGTCCACCTGTACTCTACCCTATCGTCTACTTGTACTCTACTACTTTACAGTACTCTATCGTCCACCTGTACTCTACTATATCGTCCACTTGTACTCTACTACTCTACAGTACTCTATCGTCCACCTGTACTCTACTATATCGTCCACTTGTACTCTACTACTCTACAGTACTCTATCGTCCACCTGTACTCTACTATATCGTCCACTTGTACTCTACTACTCTACAGTACTCTATCGTCCACCTGTACTCTACTATATCGTCCACTTGTACTCTACTGCTGTACTAATAAAGCTTTAGCAATGTTTATTTGTTTCTTTTATTAGAGGAATAATAGTTATATAGTGTCTGGTGTTTACAAGTGTTTTGTTTCCATACAAGACCCGTTGTCGTCTCGGCGCTTCACCTCAGAGGTAGGGTAATTATAACTCTTGGTTTACGAATGAAATTAAAACTTTATTACCTGAAAGATTTAATGTTTGTACAGTGCTATATATACATTGTATAATGAAGGGAATAGAGGGCGAGTGTGGGGGAGAAGGGCGTACCCCGCAGAAGACCCCGCCTAGCTCGCCGCGTCTCCTCCTCTACACCTCCACCACAATCTCAAAATGGACAAATTTAAAGCATTTTATATCATCAGATTCATATTTTATTGCATAAAGATATATGATTAATGAGATATTTTGAAATGATGCCACCTTATGTTACAATGCAAGTGACCGAAGCGTGGTAAAATGTTGCGCGTAACTCGCCTGGTCCAGATAGTGGAAGGATCCGAGTCCGACTGAGTATTGTGCCAGGATTGTGGCTCCTGAAGAGTCGCCTTTCATAGTGTAGGATTCTACAGCTACGGATCTCAAGGCGTGTGGCTCTCTCGTCCGAGGATTCTTATCTGTTATAGCCCCGCAGTGTAGACTCCAGTACTGGTAGGGTGGCTGCCTCGTACAGGGCGTTGAGTATTCTTATAATCCTAAGGCTTAGATACCGAAAATTGTCAAGATTTCGTGAATCGAAGAGGACGCAAATTATTCTGGGTGTCTCGAGTTAAAGAGGGTGAATGTCTTGGTTTTACGCGACCCAAAGACGGCAAGCCTACCCTTAGTGTTAGTGCGGGCGAGGCGGACGAGCTCCAGCCAGGCGCCCCTGCTGCCTCCCTCACCAAGGTGTCGTGTCAGGGGATATTTACGGTTTTGGAATTCTTATTTACTGTGAGCATTTTATTATAAAATTATTTTAGTTATTCAAATAAACATAAGTGTGTGTGTTTGTGTGTGTGTGTCAGTCCACACCAGCAAGCAGCACCAGCGGTAGCCACAGGCGCTGCTCTGTTCCTCCACACGCGCCATCATGACTCTCCTCCGCCAATATTGAGCGTAAAACCACAATAAGATTATACGGATACGCGAAATAACTTCAGGGAATATGCATGTATCGTATGACCGGAATCTCACGAGATTAAATTTTCCTTCCACCCAGCCAATGTTGTGTTATTCAGAAGTCAGAAACAATATTCTCGATTTTAAGCAATATGAACCTGGCGGCCTGGAGGAGAGCCGAGGAATGGGGTGAAGGAGTGCACCTTGGCGACTCGCGACAACAGAGTCAGCAGGTAATAAATGAGATATTGTACAGGTGCACCCGCAGCACTTGGTCTCACCTCCGCCTCTTGGGGTAAACAGTCGAAGACGGTAACGTTCTCGACCCCAGGTACTTACAAGGGTAAACTTGCCAGTCGATATAAACTCACAGGCTGTTTTGTGGTGTTTCTGTCTTTCTTTTCCTCACAGAGTAGAGCGACAGTGTCTTGAGATGCACATGAACCATCCTCAGAGTGAAACCTTTTATATACAGCCGACCCAGCATAGAACATCTAGAACGCTGTTAATGTGTATGGCTGGGAAGGAACATGTACTATCTCACCCTTTTTGACAAGAGAGGGACGAGAAGCGCACCAGTGTATACGCGCACTGGCGGCTACCACACCGCAGCTGCCCCACTAGACTATAAGCAGCACCACGTTTATCCATTTATTGAAACTTGGGAACTTTTATATGCTGGAGTGAGTCGGGGTGAGGTAGGATACGTTTTTTTGTTCCTACTTCTCCCTGGAGCTCACCGCTGCTACTGGGTTCATGTCAGACTAAGTCCAAATCTTATCATTCCCAACCAAGTGCCAGGAAGGTGTCCTGGTTACAACCCTCGACGGGTTTGGGTTCAGGAGGGAGACGGTCACGGACCAGACACCTTCACCTTGTTGGTGCCATCAACGGCGGTGGTCCTGACTGGCTCCGCCGGTCCTTATGGGTGAAGTTCTTCACCATAGTAACAGCGACCAGTATATTGGTAGGACCGACAGTGAGAATAGATGTCAGTCGACCAGTAACCAAGTCGGTCCTCCTCTCTAGGTAACGGGGACGACCGCCGTAAAGGCCGTCAGTTGACCCCCACCAGTGTAGTCCCTGAGAAGAGAAGTGACCAAGGCCAAGACATTGGTTAGCTAACTAAGTTTAGAGACAAGGCAATTCCTCTTAACCACCACTGCAACAGTGACTCATGTGGTGGACGAGAAGAACCAACCTAGAGACCGTGGACCGTGGCCACAGAGACTCTGGACCTAACGATATGGATGGACACATTAGACCTGGGGTGAGGACACCACTCATCCGACGGTCACTGAAGCAAAGGAGTGCGCTGTTTAGGGTGATTTTCCTTTATTTTAACATGGACAGTAGGGCGACTGTGTCTTGTCTCAGCAGGTTAGGTCCGTAGGGTCTGTCACACCTGGACTGAAAAGATCTTTCACAATGCCTTTGTAATGAAGGTTCAGCTGTCAGCACCTCACCTTCAAGGTTCACGCAACATATAAGATAATGTTCTGCCAGGAACTGAGTCTCAAAACCCTTAGGTCTTCAAACCAAGAGTTTTTAAAGGTAATACTGTTCATTATAGACTTCCCCTTTGTTGTAGCTCCCAGGGGCTACACCTCGAGATACTGTAGTGCAAATATTGTTAGAGTCTTCCAGGAATTTCTTGCGGACTTCGCCTACTCGGAGGTGTTCGAGACAGCAGCTGCTCTTTTTCAGAGTTACTTGTATTCCTAAAGGTCTGGCTGACAACATTATTATTTCCTGCAAATACACTCTAAGTTATTCCCATAACAAGCTTTGAATATAATCGTCGAGACACAGAGACCTGCCAGCTGATCATCGACGTCCTCAGTATTTGGCAAAGAATGAGAGAAAACATTCGGATTAAGATTAATACTTAGAGGAAGGTCGGGCCCAAGAGTCCCTGTGAAGACGTTGCACACCTACACGTCTGTATAGTATAAAACTTAAGGTGAGGACAGGTTCTTCCTACAGGATCTCCTCATTGAGACATTTGGTGATGGCAGCCCAGCCACAAGTTGACGACGGAGCCCATGACTTCTACCAACACAACGCCACAGTTTGTTACAACTGTACATTTCTCGAATTAGCCAGGTGGGTTCTGGCGGCATGTGGACACCTTCATGGGTACACTGTCCCACTCTGGAGGAGGTTCCTTGTGTTAAGTCTCTGATTAACACGGTTAGAAACATGGGGGAAGTACCAAGTACTCCACCACCTTAACTGAGGTATGTTTTAAGGATTTAAAGTATAAAATTCCCCTTTCACTCACACACAGAGGGCGCAGGTGGCCAACACAGGGTCACCAGCACCTCACTGCCTCTCCCTCAGTTCTCTACAGTATACCTTACTCTTCAGTCAACCGTTCTTAGTTCCTCACACTCAGTGCATGGCGGGTGAGCCAGGTAATGAGGCAGTCAGTTCATATACACACTGGTGCGCTTCAAGACCTTCACTTGTCGGAGGGGAAGGGTAGTTCGTGTTCCTCTCCAGACAAACACATTCATCGTCTGATGCGTTGTGCTGTATCGTCTGCATACAATGAGTCTCTCTGAGTGAGTCTAACTCCAGCACATCCTAGGAGACTTCTACCTTCTCGTGATAGAAAAAAATTAATATTTTATACTTCAAAATCAGTTTTTTGTTTGAAGTACAACTGACTCACCTACTCACTCTAACGTTAGGAAAATATTCATGCGGCTTGGCAAAACGTTAATACTTATAAAAATACACGGAGCTCAAGAGGGGGCGGGGGAAGGGGGAAAGGGGAGAGGGGGAAGGTGGGATCAAGTTTATAGCTTAGTTTCTGAAAAAATAAGGAGTCACTCTGGGAAAAGTTGTGGGCAGCATTGGAGTGTCGAGGGACCTGGCGTCAACAGGTCCCCGTGGTGGTGTGAGAGGCGAGGAAGTAACAATAATAAACATTCTCCGTCACCAGTACGTCAAGCGGCTCTCTCTACCGTCCCCCATATAGTCTGGAGTCGATAAGAGAAAAAGATTCCTAGGAAAAGAAAAATATTACTATCTACTTAATGTTACGCTAGTTGTTAAAGCCTACCGGAACATAAAGCGAGAGTACCGGGCAGAGCTACTGGGCGAGGAGTAGTGGTAACTAGTAAGTGTCGGCCAGAGATTTTGATCGTCTAACTCCAAAAAACCCAAATCCTCTATCGTATAACATGAGGCCCTCAGGGTGTGCCTTGAGGCGTGGCGAGGGTCGGGTGTGTCGGGGGTCTCTCCAGATGGTCCCAACGGGGGCACACAGGTCTTCCAGCTGGTGTCATAGACGGCAGGATCGACCACCAGCTGGGGCCATTAAGGGTAGGAAAGGCAGGACCAGCCACCAGCTGGGGCCATAGAGAAAGAGACTAACTAGGGGTTGAAACTATCACCTTGTACCAACTGCGGCCACCGCCATACTGTGAAGACAAGACCTTGTGAACCACTGAGGATGATGTGTTGAGAACCTTGCAATGTTTAACACCAACAGTAAGACATTAATGAACGTTGCACCACCTGAACTACTTCAGGGAAATAGACCATCGCACCTTTAACCACCTGAGCCATTAACGGTGTGAGGTTAAAGAATTTTTCCCATCTGAACTACCCTGAGCAATAGGTCATTGGGCCTTTCCCAAACATAACCACCAAGCGGGAGGAGTTATGGATGCAGCACCACCTGCGCCACACAGTACAAGAGGTTATGGGAACCTACACCAGCTGGTGGCGTGAGAGGAGGGAACACTGGGAGAAACATCAACAGCACTACAGAAGGACAGTGGCGTCCTGCGCCGTGAACTTCGGCAGCCAGGGTGTGTCGTCCTCACTAGCCAGGTGCCAGGTGGAGTACATTGTGAGTAACAGACGACAGCTAGAGTACTTAGAAGCAGCATCATGCTGAGAGTATAAGGCGAGACTTCAAGTGGTGGGTGGCAGCTAAGGCAGAGAGGAACGACGAGCGTCACAACAGCAGTGATTGCCAACACGGAGGAGAGTATGAGGCGAACGTCGTGTTATACTGCGACACACAAGACGGAAGGTTCAGTCACGTCTAGTTGACTCCTCAGGCAGTGAAGGACGTCGTGGCAGCACAGTGAGGCCTGGGAGTGTGTCTACCATCGCTCACGAGGTGTTCAACACTATAAGTTGAGTATGTGAGAAACTGCCCAGAGGTTCATGAGGAAGGCGGCGGGAGTGTCTCTCAAGTCAGTGCCAGCAGAGGGCAAGGGGTGAACACAGGTGTGCTGGAGGAGTTGAAGTGATAAGAGAGGGAATGTAAGACAAGTTACCTCTTAACGGTGGGAACCTTCAGGTGAGTGAACCTGGGTGGTGAGAATGAACATGTAGGTACTGATGAAAAGTTGGAATGTCAGAGGCTGATGCACCTGGATAATTGGAATGTTAGAAGAGGTAGTATCGAATGACTGGAATGATAGAGGTATTCCTGGATGCTCTAATAGTGTTCGTAAAGATTCCAGATGGTCGGAATCTTCAAGAAAGTAATCTGGAATGATGGGAATGGTCAGGTGAGTAATCAGGGATGTTTGGAATGTTCACTTACGTAATTCCTGGATGGTAGGAATGTTGGAGTGGTATATTTAGGAACTCGGAGTATCATGATGGATATTCCTAGAGTGTAGGAATGTGTGGGTTGGTATCACTAGATAACATGAGACGCGATAAGTTAAGGACTTGCACTAGTGAGACGTTAGTGATGTGAACTATTAGGTGAGGTTCATCTTGATAACAAAATGATGACGAAGGAAATGAACAAGAGAGAGAATTATACTAGAATGATCACAGCAGGAACTGTCCCAGGATGGTGAGAATGATAACAAGGTGGTAAGAATGATAACAAGATGCTGATGTCGTGAGGCTATCCGAGGAGAGTCTCGCGCCCCTCACAGTGTTAAGAGACAGCAGGTGCAGAGGAAAGAGAACTTTTAGGAGATAAACAGTCATAACAAATTTCAAATGACATAAACAACCAGACGACATAAACCTGTATAAGAGGAGAACTTTGAGGGAAGAAGAACCTCAACCCACAGGTGAGGGGGGTGAGGGGGGAGGGATATGAGCACTGGGAAGAACTGGCACAGGGAAAAAATAAAACTGTAAGAAAGAGGAAGTACCAAACTGACCTCTTGGTAATATAACAGACAATACCCCCAAGGCTACAACAAATGACAACATGGATTTGGCACTGTTTGACAGACAGACACTAGAACAGAGTCGTCGTCGGCACAAGGTCACGTCACTTTGTTTTAAAGACTAAGAGTGTTATTCCTCGTTCATATATGACGACGATTTAAGAGTAAACCCGTATGTTGATTGAGATTTAACGGGTGTGAGAGAAGAGAGTTGTGAGGACAAGACAGATCCTTCTGAGGGAGGTCGTGAGAAGGTGATGTGAGTACGAGGCGGTGGCCCCAGCTGGTGGTGTCGGGGAGGGGAGGAGGAGGTGGTGGATAGTCAAGCCACCAACGCCCCATCTCCTACAAGTAAGGTCAGGTTGTATGCTGAAGACAGGACGAGTATAGTAAAGACGCCGTCAGGGAGGGATGAGTGGGGGGATACAGGGTGGTCTCAAGGTGGTACGGGAGGCGACCACTAGGGTGAACACGAGGGAGGTGAGGGACTAGCTGGGGCAGGGCGGATCCAGGGATGAGAGGGAGGGTTCAGGCCGTGGGAGTCGAGGGAGGGATGTGACGGTCGAGGGTGGGGGTGTGGGAGTCCCCGCCGTCCACACTGTTGCGTCGCGCTCATGTACCTAAACAGACATGTTATCACAGATCAGTTGGAACAGTAACAATCAGCACAAGAAATATAAATATTCAAAACTCCACTGTAGCACAAACAAATGTCAAATAATATGCTCTATGTTTGCGACGAAACTCAATACATATTCGATGAAACACCTGAAATACATCACTCTTGTGTTCAACTTTAAAACACTGTTTTGTTATATACAAAACAAACGGGACGGTACTTATGTGTAAATGCTGAGACTGTTTCCACTCCCTACGTGCTCGACCCTGGCGTACGAGGGTCAGGTGAGTATTGCCAAGAATGTTCGCCCTGCGCCACGCCCACGCGCAGGTTAACCATTATGTTAGAGTAAGGGCGTGTGGGGTCATGCCACCAGGGGTCGGTCGGGTCACCGGGGTCATCAACCCACCAAGCACATTTTTCTCAGTTCCCAGCAGGGATGATCCACCGGCAGTAGGACCAGCAGAACACCGAAGACCTCCTCTTCTTGGTTAGCAGATCACAGGGACGTTCTCTGCATGGCCACCAGTGCTCAGGAGTGGGCCCTTTATGGCCAACAGGGCAGAGGACTTGATCTTCACGGCTACGTTAACACAAGAACTCGTCTTCTGGGTCAGCAGGACACAAGCACCTCTTCTTCCTGGCCATCCGAGCAAGAATTCCTCCTCTTCTAGACCAACAGACTAAAGGCCCTCCCTTCTATTGGCCATCGGATAACAAGGATCTTCTTACCATGGCCAGCAGAAGACTAGCACCACCTCATCCTGGCCAAGAGAAAACAAGGATCCTCTCTTGATTAACGAAGCATGAAAACATCCACTTCCTGGCCATCAGAACACAAGGGCCACGTCTTCTCGGCCATCAGAACACAGGGGCCTCGTCTTCTCGGCCATCAGAACACAAGGGCCTCGTCTTCTCGGCCATCAGAACACAGGGGCCTCGTTTTCTCGGCCATCAGAACACAAGGGCCTCGTCTTCTCGGCCATCAGAACACAGGGGCCTCGTCTTCTCGGCCACAGAACACAGGGGCCTCGTCTTCTCGGCCATCAGAACACAAGGGCCTCTTTTTCGGCCCTTAGAGCACTGGTACCTCCTCTTCTTGGCTATATTGGGACGAAGACCTCATCTCCCTGGCCATCAGAGGACTATGACCACTCTATATGGCCAAAGGAGTAAAAGGACCTCATCCCCACTGGTCGTCAGATCACAAGGACCTCCACTCTGTGGCCAGCAGAACACCTAGCACCGCCTCTTCTTGACCACCAGAGCACATGGACCACTTCTTGGCCATCGAAGCACGAAGACCTCCTCTCTATGGCCAACAGAACAGTAGCACCTTATTTTTCTTGGCAATCAGAGCACAAGGACCTTCTCTTATTGACCATCAGAGCACGAAGACCTCATCTTCTTGGCAACCTGAGCATCGTCGCTTTGTTTTCATGGCCAGCAGAACACATGGACCCGGATGTTGAGTGCTCCGGCTGGGTTTGGATGCTGGGACACTGGCACCACAACTGATATGTTTGACAACTTAATACAGAACACTAAGATAATCAAATTTGTAAAAAAATAAATTCCTCCAACGTAGGATCTTTAGCACTTTGCCAAATAACAGAGTGGAGAGTGCTGGACGAGGAGGCTTGGCGTCCTCACAGTAAGGAGTTTATAAATCTTTCTAGTGTAATTAATAACATAATCGCTTTTATTTTGAAAGTGAAATATTAGTGTAAATATTTATCCCATCCTTGTTCAGCACTTGCCACACTACCTTAACAATTAGTCTTTTGTAGTCGTCCTGAAAAGTATGATTGGCAAACACAGCACGGCGGTGTCTTGTCAGCATCACCCATGTGTTAGTCCCTCTTGTAAATAATTCCACCAATTTCTATCTCCCGTTTTATTAGATTGTTCCTGATAGACTTTACTGTATAGCATGTACACTTGTGCTACCGTGCTCAAGGGGTCGAGGGAAACCTCCTGGGGAAGCCCCGGGCGAGTGAGGTTGTACTAGCGTCTCAGAGGTACTCCCTGGAGCGAGACTTGGGCAGTGAAGGTCCCTCAGCCCGCGGAGATGACGCCTGCTCCAGGATCTCGTCCTCTAACATGCCGCGCACCATAGAGTCCGTGGGAGAGTTTGAGTCTGTGGGGGAGGTGCGCGGCGTACCTGCGCTCTTTGCACGACTTTTGTCTCGCCTCTTAGGCTTTCTCGGTTCCTCACTGGCGGTCACCTTTGGCAAGAACTGTTTGGTTTCTTCACTGTCGCCTGCGACTTCGCCGGCGCCGGCGACGGCGGTGATGCGCTCCCTCTCCCGCCTGAGAGGTGGTCGAGTGACAGTGTCATCGCCGGAGAGTCTCACGCTCACTGGTTGCGACGTTGACCGCTGGACGTAAGTCATTCTCGTCATCACGTCGTTCATGTTGTCCTCGAGCTTTGTCAGCTTTTGGTTCATCCTCTGCATCTCGAGTTTGAGGTCGACCTACAAAAAAAAATGAGAAATCGTCACGAGGTTTCCTCCAGCACCACCACCTAAGCCCCATGTTTGGGAACCCGCCCGAAAGTTAAGGGCTAACGATACTTCTGTTTTATATACCTTGATTATACGACAGGGAAGTAGATGACATATACAGTTATATATATAAAGCAGCAATAATAGAGGTGCACGAGACAAAAAATTCAGTGAAAAAATCTATTGATCACTAAACAAATGAATAAATAGCGTCCATGACCTCAAAATGAGAATTATTATAATTTCACAAATAGATAGAATGTTTACATTAATAAGGCAACATTTCGACGCAGGTAATATCATTAAACATCAAAGCAGAGGAAATCAGACGTCACCGCCAACAGTGAGCCTTCTTCATTAATGTGAGCTTCCGTTACCTCAGGACACAAGGTCATGGTGGGTTCTTTACCTTAAAGTCCATGAGGCTGGCGATAATCTGCTGGCAGTCGACTGTGGTGACGCCCGGCGTGACAGGGGAGATGTAGTCCGTCACGTTGCCGGAATCGTTGTCCTGCAGCTTATTCTTGTGGTCCCGTCCCACCCCGGAGTCCAGAGAGTCCAGCTTATTCAGCTTGAACTTTGTGCTGCCTTCCAGGACGAGCGTATCCTGTAGAGGAACAGCCGCCAAGTCAGCTACTGCGCCACAATACTCCAATACAGTACCAATGGTGGCAACAGACAGGTCCGCCCCGCCAGGCTCCTGATAGTTGCCAGGTTCTCAAGGATCGTGTGGCAGTGATGGCACAACTATCTAGCTAAGTAACATCTATGAGGGCGGGTGCACTAGAGAGTTAGAGAGAGTTATGGTGCGTACTTCTGAGACCATTAAAAGTCTCTGTTTGGACGACTGCAGCTTAAGAAAAAGGTCTGTCAAGACGCCTACATTACATAATGACTGAGTACAGTAGTTGGGTGTAGTAAGTAAGTAACTACACTAATGAGCTGTAAGGAAGATTACACTGAAGTTTTACAGAAGCTGTACTTACTGGCTGTGTCTCCAGGCTGGTTGATGGCGGACACGGGGGCTGAGATGTGTGGGGACTGTGTTCATATAAGACAACCTCTACCACAGTGTTTACCTCACTGTGGCACAGCTTTACGAGACATATTTTACGTTTTGACAAATCATTCTGATCCTTGTTGACTCAGTACTCACAGCCTCGCCCGCTGCCACTTATGGACACGGAAGTAAGGTTCTCCTTCTCAGCCATCAAGTGTCAAGCAGAGAAGCAGAACCTTTTTCCCCTCAGTGACTTGACTAATCAACATGATATTATCCTATACATCACATCCTACGGGATCCTTCATCGACTTGTCTTGAAATCCTTCTTTGTTATCCCCATAAATCCTGTATCTCCCTTCTTCATCTCCTCCTCTGACGTGTGGCTACACACGCTCCACCACAACTCTCTAAACAAGCCTTCAACCCTCAAACTCTCCCCTGAATCACCCGAGGTTCGGTTACACCTCCTTCAAGCCTCAAAGTCCTAAATAACCTAAGTTATCTACTATTTAATAAGATTTTTGTCTTTATTAAACTTCTCATGCATTAAGCTGTCATTCTTACGACACAACACTTGGGAGGTGTTGGTGGGGAGGTGGGACAGAGGATAGGGCTTCTGAAGTGAGGACCAATACGGTGCTATGGTCTTCACTCTTATGCGTCAGGAGGGAAGGAGGATACACCTCACGTGTTACATACAGCACTATAGTAACCATCTGTGTTTAATATTACAAGCAACACAAACACCGATTTAAAAATTTCGTGCAATACAAATTTACAACACATACGCAAAAGACCTTCTAACAATATACGATGAATATTACAGGTAGGTGGTGTATTATGATCACCTGTGAAACCCTTAGAGATAACTGGCCACTGAAGTAACTTACAGCTAAGGTACAGTCAGATACATGTAAACAAAGAGAGTTAAGACTGGCAATTAAGTTCAGTCGACCAATCACAGTAGTTGATCACACGTACAGCCGACCAATCACAGTCACATGTACAGTCAACCAATCAGAGTAGCTGGTAACATGTACAGCTGACCAATCACAATGTCCAGATCATGCAACATGCGAAAAGTTGTTGGCAAGTTTAGGTTTTACAGTAGCAACAGGTGAGTGTGTGTCGTGTTGAGCTAGGTCCAATACCCAGGTGGACTGTGGGGGCGAGGACACACACACACACACACACACACACACACACACACACACACACACACACACACACACGGGATGGGGCCAACAAGGACGCTGTTTCAATATGGTGTGCGACATCACCCGTTGTGTTAGAGGCGCGACATGCTGCTCTGAGGGCCTACTGGCTGCTTTGGGGATGCTGTAGCTGTTTTAGGGACGCTGTAGACTGATTTGGGGATATTGCACACTTTTATGGGAGCTGCAGAGTGTTAAGGGACGCTGTAGACCGTTTTATGGACGATACAGACTGTTTTAGGAAACTACAGGGACACTATAGGTTGTTTTAGGGGACGCTATAATGGACGCTATATGCTACAGGCCGCCACCAAGACGCTAAGGGGTTTGGCTAAACGCTACAGGGGTCGATAAACTCTACAAGCTATCATCAGGTCGCTACAAGCTTCGGGTATACGCTACAGGCTTCTTTAAGGCTCACTACAGTTCTGTGGTATGTTTGCTACAAGCTGCGGGAGAGGAGGTGGTGGGGGGAGGCGTTAGTCGCTGCGGCCATCACAATACAGGGTGTTGCGGGTGGAACGATACAAAACCCTGGTACGAGCACTACAATACTGCCGCAAGACACTAGAAGCTGCGGCTGGTGCGGTACAAGGAGGTTACAGAGCCAGTACAGAGGCGGTACAAACAGCCAACAGAAGGACACCCGCAGCTACTACAACAAGTTACCTTTTTCACCACCGTCTTGGCACTATTGTTGTTGTTGTGGTTGTTGTTGGGTGTGGTGCCGGGAGTGGTGGCAGTGGAGGTATTGGCTCTCTTGGGGGTCACGCCGAGGGTCTGTCAGCATAGTAGCAGACAGTCAGCCACTTAACATGACACACTGACAACAACTTATCTCTACGGGTCACCAATGAAACGCATCTGACACAACCACTTCCTTTATCTCAGGTGTCTGGTATTTACTTTTAGGCTTCTGGTAATTACAGTTAAGACTCAACAGGTATCTGGACTCCACCTCTTAATGGTACACCTCATAAGGCTACTACAGGCTCTTGTACTTATAAAAAGGATAAATAAAATATTGCGTCTCAGGTGTACAGAATCATGGCGATATATCAAGAGTCAAATCCAAGTCTCAGATTACCCAGAAAAAGTTTCCCTGAACCTTCTGAAGGAAAGCCCTACCACCCGCTATTGTCCCAGGTGTCGCAGAACATGCCTAAATTTGTCCTACAGGTGAAGAACACGGGAGAAGTAGCTGACAGGTTGGGAAGCGTCAACACCATCTGTTACATGTACATACGTCATCATGAACACCTGTTACATGTACATACGTCATCATGAACACTTGTTATAGGTACAGGTCATAATGAACACCTCGTGATAACTCGCCCTCAACAGCTAAATGGACCTGACATAAACAATAAACATAATACTCTACGATATTAAGTGACATCTGATTCAAGTAATAATTGACTGTCCTTTTGATGTCATGGCGGCGAATTCCTTTTCACCTAACACTATCTAGTTCGAGTTGACCCCCGCATTGGTTACTTCCAGATACGTAATGAATATAAGATGTAAACACACAAGGGGTAGTTTGAGAGCCGTAACAAGGTCGTTCGTAGGTACTAACATCAATCTTATTCGTTATTTATTCATTGTGTTTATGATTTCGAGAGGTGGGAAGTACCAGTGAAGAGGAGAATAAACAGTAGAGAGTAAAGGAGATCCGTGAAGCAAGAGGTGAGGGCTGCAGGCGATGACGACCCGAGGAATACAGACCAAACATTAAAAGCTGATCGTGGTGCAGAAAAAAAAGAGGAAATTATTATCGAAAAATTACAAATCTGTAATAGAAAATATAAGATAATAAACCATATCAAAATTTTCACAGAATATATTAAATTGGAAAAAGGTTTCTTGCTTCAGAGATGGTAAGTGTTGGTGGGGTAACTCAAGAGATCACATATTGTGTCTCACCCTCACGCGACACACCACAAAGAGTCATCTGGTCTCTGGGGTAATTATCTGTGTCTCACCTTTAGCAATTAACTAGCAACATTTACCTTCAATGAAACGATAGATTATCTTCCAAAAGGAGGGAATAAGACAGATTTCACACATGCTACCGTAGAGACTGACTGAGAGTTAGATGGAGGCGAGAAGTGTGAGATAAATAAACTGGACCCTGAATAAGATCACAGAGGGCGGGAGGAGGGGGGGGGAGGTACCTTGGAGAGGTTGGTGTTGTGCTTGTTGCCGAGGCTCCTCAACACCCCGTCCTGCATCAGGTTCTTCTTGTTACACTCGTCCGTGGTGGAGCCTTCGTCGTCCCCGCCTGCAGCACCACCATCAGTCACACATGGGCGTTAATATCATGATGATGGAATAACATTTATCGAATATTAACCCTGAATATATTTCCCAATAGTACTTGTAAAGTCGTAATAATAACATCTAGTATATACAATGACAAAGGTATTCCCCTGACGACGCTGGAAGTACAGAAAAATAACTACAACTGATTATATAACCTAATCCAACAGACTATCACAGTAGTGGTGTTTACGACAGAATACCTTCACTCTACTAATTAGATATCAAAATACAGGTAAGGGGTCACTGTGGTATACTGTGACCTCACGCAGGACAGATAAGAGTCATACCTTCATTCCTGCCGAAGATGTTTTTCCACTTGCGCGGCCCGTTGGTCTCACAAATGTTGTTCATCCTCGCCGGCGGCATCTTGACGACCTGCAGGTAACACAGAATACAGTCACACCTCTTACTCAAGATTTACTAAGATAGATGAACTTTTAAGATAAGATAATGTTAGAGGCCAGAGCACCGGAGAGAGAGAGAGCGAGAGCCACTTACCTTGAGAGCATCAGTAGTGCCCACCACCTCAGAGTCTGACCGCTCGCCTGACCCTCGTTCCACATCCCTGCCGCTCACCCCCACCATGTCGGAAGAGGCGCTGTTGGGGGTGCCTGAACCTCCTCCTGCCTTATCTCTCCGGAACCTGCCAACGAGTCTCCAGCGTTAGTTTTTGTCGTGTGAGTGAGTGTAGGAGAGCGTTAGTTGTCGTGTGTGTGTGTGTGTGTGTGTGTGTGTGTGTGTGTGTGTGTGTGTGTGTGTGTGTGTGTGTGGAAGGGACACACTCGGTGGAGGGGCAAGATGATATTATTTACACATGTATTATTAATATGAATTTTATGAAAGGAATAATATCGATATTAAGTGAAGACGCCATCATTTATATTATGGATATACAGTACTCAGGTACTCTTATACACCACGGCCCACACACACACACACTCACACACACACGGTCATATATACTGTACATTACATACATACATACATACATACATACATACATACATACCCTATATATGTTTATACGTATCCTATACACACACACACACACACACGGTCATATATACTGTACATTACAACATACATGCATACATACATACATACCCTATACACACACACACACATACACACACACACGGTCATCTATACTGTACATACTTACATACAAACATACATACATATATGCAATCACACACACATACACACACACGGCCATATATACATACATACATACAATCACACACACACACACACACATACACACACCAGAGAAGTTTGAACAAACTACTTTATCATAAATATAACAAAACAAATGAATAATATTATTAATAAAAAATTAAATAATCTTGAAGTATACAGGACGAAAAATACAAGTAAAATGTCTTGAAAGATTTGACGCTTAAAACAAACAAAAAATCAATACACAAATTTGGAGGAAAATAGTAAGTTTAATGTAAGAAATTTATATTATCGGGGTAAAAGAAAATAATGCGGGTCGCTACACGCTTCTTGAGTAATCGAGTGTGGAAACAAAAGACGCGAGTTAAGATGGACAAGTTAGTTTACAGGCGGGAGGGTGTGGCCGGGTCAGGTGCGGGTCAGGTGTGTCTCCTAGTTTACCTAGTAATATATTTACCATTAAACTTATATGTTAATTATCTTATCTTATCATAAGCTACTTCTACACATCTCTATTGTTGTCTCAGCTACTATAGAGATGGAGTTATCCCCGAGGCCTTACATAAGCCTGGGTGACGTTGGTCCACGTCATGATGGTAGAGGCGGAGGCGCTAGACACACACGCGGGAGAGCACGAGCACCCCACCGTCACTGGCCACCCCCAGCCAGCCCCTCAACTGGGTAAGTTAGGGATGCAAAGCGATGGAAATACAAATTAACTAAGACTACGCCTGGATGTAGAGATTCTACCCCGAGTGATCCTCAGGGGCAGCAGAGTGAACAAGCAGGATAGAGGAGGAGTTTTGGAAGAGGTCTTGAGTCTACTGGTTGTGAGGGCAGGGTACCCGGTGCTCCTGGTGAGACACTGGCCCTCGGCACTAACTGCTGAAGGCAGAGTAGCGTGTGTGGGAAGCTAAGGTCTGCCACATGGCTCTGAGTGGTGAGGAAAAGGGGCTGACCATACACAGTGACTGTATGAAGCAAAGAAGTGAACCATAAAACACTGACGGCTGGGAGACGGAAGAGCTGCGTGTACTGTACTGCCACTACTGAGGGCTCAAGCTATCTGTGTTCCTAGGCCGGTGAGGCGAGGAATTGGTTGTATTTTCTGGCTTCTGAGTGCACAAGACATGGTTGGGAACTAGGTGCAGGAGATAAATCTTTGAGAATGATTGCTGAGCACGAGTGAGTGAGTGATGCGGGAGGAAGGTAGTTATGGCCTCTGGCTCAGCCGGGGAGAAGTAGAGTGAGTGCAGTGTACTACCGGGCAGCTGCTGAGAAGGTGGCGCCAGTGACAGCAAATAATGTGGCTCACTCTGCCTGTGGGTATTATGAGGGGGGGCGGCGAAAGAGAGGGGAAGAGAAAGAGTGAGAGAGAAGGAAGCATAGAGGTAAAGCTGGAGGCTGGGAGGGTGAGACCTGGTCCTCCAAGGTCGGGTCAGCAGATCTTTATACCACATGCAGCGTGGAGACACAAATAAACGCCACGTTAATATTTGGTCCTAAATCTTATTCACTTTAACTTAATCAAGATGAAGGAGGCTGAGGTGTATGGTAGCCTTAGGTGAGAGCAGTGGGGGAGAGTGAGAGAAATGAGGGAGAGTGAATAGTGTCCTCCCCCCTTTCCCTCACTCACCCGCCTCCTACCTCACCTCCACGCTTCACTAGGTCTCTGCTACAGTCTCTTCTTCACCCAAACAACAGTGAGTTAGAGACAGTACATATCTCTCAAGACATCCAGGAGGGAACGTGATAAAGTAGTAAACGATCCCGATAAAGCAGAGCTATAAAACAAAGCAGTATAAACAAAAGATGGTTAAAAGTATGACCCCTGACTCTCGCGAAGCAGTACTGAGATCCCCAATAAAGCCAATGACTCAAGAAGAGGGGCGTGAGGCCGTGAGGTCTGACTCAACTGTAGGACCCGGGCGACGACTTTACCTCCAAGATTGTTCGCTGACACTGGTTGTCGGAAGGTCACAGAAAACAAGGAAAGAAAATAATGAAAGTCAACAACGGAGCCACGTCAATATGTCAAACTAAACACCCTCTGGACCTTCCAAGGCTGAGTTTATAATAGTAAAAAAAAGTTATTTCGACGTCTTAGTTACATATATATGAAGCACACATGAGGGCAAAACACTAAGAACTATTAACTTGATATACAGGAATTATCTTTTTTTAATAAAGACATTTATTTATTAACCATTAGTCTAATTGTTCCCTAATAACATTTACTTTCCCAAAGACTTAATCAACGACATTGATTTCTAAAGATTTTTTCCCCCAAGATCACTGACTGGTTCTGCAAGGTCACTGGCTGCCTCATCTTGCCTTTAAAACATCGGGTCCAGCTTTGATAAGCCTGCGGCCTATCAGTACCCAAACCTTGACTGAGTACCACCCCAGGAGACACTCCCCCCGGCTACAGCAACACTCTCAACAGAAAACAACTTGGCCTACCTGGAGAAGATCTTCCTAACTAGGTGGTCGTGGCTGAGCTCCTGTTGGGGCTCGTGTTTGCGTCTCTCAGCAAGTTCCTTCTCCCGCCGGACGTCGCTCACCTTCCGGAAGATGAGCTGCACGACACAAACAGTCTTAGTACAACGACAGACCAACAATCATGTCGGAAATAAAAAAAAAAAATTAAGTACTGTTGAATGTCTAAAATATTCTAGCATGGAGGAATAACTCACTCTGTGTCTGAGGTTGTAGGTGAGAACGAGGTTCCTGGCGAAGGAATTAGCGAAGGCGTGGTAGAAGTCGAGGACCTCCAGCAGCTTCTCCCGCTTGATGGCGTGCAGGTCGCAGTAGGTGAGGGCGCGGACGTTGGCGGCGCTCTGGCCGACGGTGGGGTCCTTCCAGAAGGTGTCACCGAAGACGTCGCATTTACCCAAGATGGCCACCACCTCGTCGTCCTGGATCACCTCCAGCGACCCCGTCACTATGAAGCACAGGGTGTCGAGCGACTCGCCAGTGTGGAACAGCAAGTCACCTGCAACGCAACACAAGTTACCCCAGTGAAGTGCTTTATCTCACTAACCACTGATAGACCTAACCGTCTATTCATTGATTCATCTATCTGTCTATACCTATCCGTCTATTGTCTATCAACCTATCCATCTAATTATCTATATATATATCTATACATCTATCTACGAGCCATACTGTACATAGCGACCGTCAGATGACAGTATGGAAGGCGTCAAACTCCATCACAATCACAATGAAACAATAAACTCCTGATGGACACAACCAGGGACCAGGACCGCCAGGGAGACACACACAGAGAGTCGTACAAGTAAGATGATTTACCTGTAGTGCGTGACCAGAGACTCACCTGGGGCGGAGTGGCTCATGGTGAAGTGCATGGCGAGAGCTCTAAGGCAGCCGTCGGAGGCCAGGCGGAAGGCGGGGTGCTCGTTGAACACTTTACGGTTTAAGTGGACGCAGATGTCGGCTTTCATGTCCTTGGGGCAGTAGTTGAGCACCTAAGGACGGGGCCAAGGGTTAGTAGTGTCCTACACTGTGTCCCTACCACCCCCCCTCCTGCCCCCCACCCCTAGGAGACCATGGTCCTATAAATTACATATATCAGACAGACACGTAAAGTTTTCGAGTCAGAAGCTTTCCAGAGAAGCGAAGTAATAAAATTCATACTTACAGAATACAAAAGGGATTTTTTTTTTACAAAGGTGCAGCAGCAGTTCAAAGTGAGAGACTCGTAGGATATTCACAATAGAAGAAGAATGCAGAGAGGTGGAGATAAAGAGAAGCCAAGGCAGTATGTAAAGCAAGAGGTGGTCTGCTGGACACTGTCGGGTGTATCAACAGACACACTCATAATCTGTTGTGGTGTTGTGGTTCGGTGGAATGTTCCTTTTATTTTAATAAGGCCTCTAAATCCTTCTGTGGGCTTATTGGTAAATTTGTCAGGGATTATTTTATGTGCAGATAATTTCGACAAGACTGAATATTATGTAGATATGTAAAACCTGTCTACTGTCAGCCATGTGGACGTCTGGCCTATCCTCGTGTCAGATGTACACTCGCCTGCACTTATACCTGGTACAGTGTGTGGTGCATTTTATGAGATATGGCAACTCTGTGGAATGTTTATATAGCATCCTTAGTCTGGTTACTATTGGAAGTTTTCTTAGGGCCATTCTGGGAGTTTTAATACGATGTAAACAAACACAAAGGTGCCACATCTCACAAAACGCGCCAGGCCACTGTACCAGGTATAAGTGCAGGCGACTGTAGCGGTTTCTTGAATATTATGTCACGCATTTCGACTTCGTATATACTTCTGTAAAGATTCTTGTCCCGTGATAACATGACCAGTTGGACTCAAGTTTTAAGGACTTTACTGAGAATGAACTGTTATTAGATTATATTAACTTAGTGTTTACTTGAGAACACAGTTAGTGGAGAGTCTGTATCACTCGAGGCTGGAGACACTGTGCTACACCTCACTACACCACTGTTCCTCTGGGCCGGACCTCAGACCTTTACCAGTCCAGTCAAGAGTACATTTCTATTTGTGGCCACATTTACTTATAACCAGACCCTAAAGAGTTAATTTAAACTTATTTCTGTGGATGGAAAAAAAGACCTTTATGAATAATTCCTCAGTGAGTCTTTTCTTTATCTAGACTAAGATGACTACAGCCGAGTCCTGACCACAAACATAATCGTCCCCTGCCCCTACTGCCATGACTACAGCCGAGTCCTGACCACAAACATAATCGCCTACTGCCATGACTACAGCCGAGTCCTGACCACAAACATAATCGTCCCCTGCCCCTACTGCCATGACTACAGCCGAGTCCTGACTACAGCCGAGTCCTGACCACAAACATAATCGTCCCCTGCCCCTACTGCCATGACTACAGCCGAGTCCTGACCACAAACATAATCGTCCCCTGCCCCTACTGCCATGACTACAGCCGAGTCCTGACCACAAACATAATCGTCCCCTGCCCTACTGCTATGACTACAGCCGAGTCCTGACCACAAACATAATCGTCCCCTGCCCCTACTGCCATGACTACAGCCGAGTCCTGACCACAAACATAATCGTCCCTGCCCCTACTGCCATGACTACAGCCGAGTCCTGACCACAAACATAATCGTCCCCTGCCCCTACTGCCATGATCACGAGTCCTGACCACAAACATAATCGTCCCTGCCCCTACTGCCATGACTACAGCCGAGTCCTGACCACAAACATAATCGTCCCCTGCCCCTACTGCCATGACTACAGCCGAGTCCTGACCACAAACATAATCGTCCCCTGCCCCTACTGCCATGACTACAGCCGAGTCCTGACCACAAACAAACCCGCTCCTACTGCCATGACTACAGCCGAGTCTGACCACAAACATAATCGTCCCCTGCCCCTACTGCCAGACTAAGCCGAGTCTGACCACACAATCGTCCCTGTCTGCCGCGACTACAGCCGAGTCCTGACCACAAACATAATCGTCCCCTGCTCCTACCGCCCGGCTACAGCCGAGTCCTGACCACAAACATAATCGTCCCTGCTCCTACTGCCATGACTACAGCCGAGTCCTGACCACAACACCCCCCACCACCCCAAACATAATCGTCCCCTGCCCTACTGCCATGACTACAGCGGTCCTGACCACAAACATAATCGTCCCCTGCCCTACTGCCATGACTACAGCCGAGTCCTGACCACAAACATAATCGTCCCCGCTCCTACTGCCATGACTACAGCCGAGTCCTGACCACAAACATAATCGTCCCTGCTCTACTGCCATGACTACAGCCGAGTCCTGACCACAAACATAATCGTCCCCTGCCCTACTGCCAGACTCGAGTCTGACCACAACAACGTCCCTGCCCTACGCAGCTACAGCCGTCGACCACAAACTCGTCCCCGCCTACACTACAGCCGAGTCTGACCACAACATAATCGTCCCCTGCTCCTACTGCCATGACTACAGCCGAGTCCTGACCACAAACATAATCGTCCCTGCTCCTACTGCCATGACTACAGCCGAGTCCTGACCACAAACATAATCGTCCCCTGCCCTACTGCCATGACTACGGCCGGTCCTGACCACAAACATAATCGTCCCCTGCTCCTACTGCCATGACTACAGCCGAGTCCTGACCACAAACATAATCGTCCCTGCTCCTACTGCCATGACTACAGCCGAGTCCTGACCACAAACATAATCGTCCCTTTACTGCCATGACTACAGCCGAGTCCTGACCACAAACATAATCGTCCCCTGCCCTACTGCCATGACTACAGCCGAGTCCTGACCACAAACATAATCGTCCCTGCTCCCCCCGGTCCAAACATAATCGTCCCTGCTCCTACTGCCATGACTACAGCCAGTCCTGACCACAAACATAATCGTCCCCTGCCCTACTGCCATGACTACAGCCAGTCCTGACCACAAAACATAATCGTCCCCTGCCCTACTGCCATGACTACAGCCGAGTCTGACCACAAACATAATCGTCCCCTGCCCTACTGCCATGACTACAGCCGAGTCCTGACCACAAACATAATCGTCCCTGCCCTACTGCCATGACTACAGCCGAGTCCTGACCACAAACATAATCGTCCCTGCTCCTACTGCCATGACTACAGCGAGTCCTGACCACAAACATAATCGTCCTGCCCTACGCCATGACTACAGCAGTCTGACCAACATAATCGTCTGCCCACTGCCATGCTACAGCCAGTCCTGACCACAAACATAATCGTCCCCTGCCCTACTGCCATGACTACAGCCGAGTCCTACACAATCTCCCCCCTACTGCCGACTACAGCCAGTCCTGACCACAAACATAATCGTCCCTGCCCTACTGCCATGACTGGAGTCCTGACCACAAACACGTCCCCTGCCCTACTGCCATCTACAGCCGAGTCGACCCAATAACGTCCCTCCTCTACTGCCATGACTACAGCCAGTCCACAAACATAATCCCCCTGCCCTACTGCCCGACTACAGCCAGTCACCACAAACATAATCGTCCTGCCCCTGCCATGACTACAGCCAAGTCCGACCACAAACATAATCGTCCCTCCCTACTGCATGACTACAGCCGGTCCTGACCACAAACATAATCGTCCCCTGCCCTACTGCCATGACTACAGCCGAGTCCTGACCCACCATAATCGTCCCCTGCCCCTACTGCCATGACTACAGCCGAGTCCTGACCACAAACATAATCGTCCCCTGCCCTACGCCGACTACCCAGTCCTGCCATGTCCCCTGCGCCGACTCAGTCTGACCATAATCCCTGCCCTGCCAGACTACAGCCGAGTCCTGACCAAAACATAATCGTCCCTGCCCTGCTGCCATGACTACAGCCGAGTCCTGACCACAAACATAATCGTCCCCTGCCCTACTGCCAGACTGCCGAGTCTGACCACAAACATAATCATCCCTGCCTCTACTGCCATGACTACAGCCGAGTCCTGACCACAAACATAATCGTCCCCTGCCTCTACCCATTACAGCCGAGTCCTGACCACAAACATAATCGTCCCTGCCCTACTGCCATGACTACGGCCGAGTCCTGACCACAAACATAATCGTCCCCTGCCCTACTGCCATGACTACAGCGAGTCCTGACCACAAACATAATCGTCCCCTGCCTACTGCCATGACTCCGCGAGTCCTGACCACAAACATAATCGTCCCCTGCTCCTACTGCCATGACTACAGGAGTCCTGACCACAAACATAATCGTCCCCTGCCTCTACTGCCATGACTACAGCCGAGTCCTGACCACAAACATAATCGTCCCCTGCTCCTACTGCCATGACTACAGCCGAGTCCTGACCACAAACATAATCGTCCCCTGCTCCCTACTGCCATGACTACAGCCGAGTCCTGACCACAAACATAATCGTCCCCTGCCCCTACTGCCATATGCATCCTGAGTTACCCCTGCGCTACAGCGAGTCCTGACCACAAACATAATCGTCCCTGCCCTACTGCCATGACTACAGCCGAGTCCTGACCACAAACATAATCGTCCCCTGCCCTACTGCCGACAGCGGTCTGACCACAAACATATCTCCTGCCGCTACAGCCGACCAACATAATCGTCCCCTGCCTCTACTGCCACATCATCACGAGAATAAACAGACTGACAGACAGACAAATAATCTTGACTAAAATCTCTCACTACATCGCCTACGGGGGATAATATTAGTGATTATTAAAGACAACACAAGGGGAGGAGGTGTGCTTACTGTAGTGGTAAGGACACCCCATTAATAAGTGACAGGTGTAATTCATGCCACGCCTTTTGGGGGATTAATGACAGGTTTAATGTTTAGTGATTTAAGTTAGTTACCTTTTGATGGTGGTTTAGTTTAGTTAGGCACTGGTGAGTCAGTGGAAGTCCTTTTTATATGTACAAATACTGTACACTTACACAGATACACACTCCTCTCACATATACAAATACATATACGCACGCACTGTACACACACACACACACACACACACACACACACACACACACACACATATACTGTGTGTGTGTGTAATTATTATATGATTGCTATAATAATCACAACAACGACTACTATTATAACTACAATAATAATTATAATAATAAAACGATAATCGATATTGCTGATAAATAATAATCATAATAATAATAACATTAAAAACATAACATAATAATAATAATGGTAATAATAATAACCTTTGGTGTGTTTCAGTCAATTATACCGTATTAGTTGAATTATATTAGGTTATAACAACAGGTCGAGCTAAGTAGGTAGAGAGGTAGTTAGGTTAATAGCTCGGTAGGCAGGCAGGCTGCTATATGAGGTTGCTGATTGGAGGAGTATGTCGAATGGGCAATTTTCAGTCTGTGAGTGTGATTATAAATGGAGGTGAGGTAAGTAAGGACTAGTAGACGGGTAAAGACAGACGCATGGTTACTGTAGATGGAACAAGTTGACAAACGGGAGGATGGTGAAGGTGGGTGGGTGGGTGAGGCGTGCAGGAGGGAGGGTGGGGTGGGGGGTGCTGTGAGAGGCAGGTGTGATGACAACTGCCCACAGAGAAGGGAGGGAGGTGTGAGGGGCAGGCAGGGAGACAGTGTCGTACACCTAGCAACACCCAGCACGCGGTGGCCGGGTTGGGGTTCCCTCCTCAGGTTTGTGGCCGCCGTGGGGAGAGAGCAGGTACCTTACAACTCGGTGGAAGTGGCGAGTCAAAAAGGAAATAGTGTGGAAACTGAGGAACAGGAGGAGTGCCAGAGTGTAGTGCCTTAACATGCGATGTAGTGCCAGGCAGCAGCAGCAGGAGCAGTAGCAGCCAGCCAGCCAGAGAGGACGGGATGCACTCTGAATGCCTCACCTTGGGAGGGAACCCGCGTCTTATACTAGTGAAAAGCATGCAAATAGAAAACTGTAAAATTAAAGTCACGCCCATTCCCTAGGAGAGAAAAAGGAAAAAAACCAGAGCAAGCAAAATGATGCACAAAACTTGTCGTATAAACTGTCTATGTACAGGTTTGAGCCATCTTATGGGCGAGCAGCTCTGCACGTTAAGACTGCTAACCCACACGCCGTAGCCGCCCAGTACTATGTGGGTAATGTAGGGACGGGATGGTGTGGTGTCCGTGTTGTAGAGGTGTGTGCATATTCGTGGATGTGTATACATGTGTGTGTGTGTGTGTGTGTGTGTGTGTGTGTGTGTGTGTGTGTGTGTCAAATGAGCAGTGACACCACACTGATGTCCACACGCACTAGTGCCACCTCCTACTGCTAAGTGTTAAAGCTCGGCCTAGAGGCTAAGGAGCTGTGGGGGTCAGTGTCATGATCTAAAGGCCATTGTGGGTCAGTGTCGCGATTAAGTGATCAGCGCTGCTACTATCGAGGAACAGTAAGTCAGTGCCACGAGTCATAAGTCAGTGAGACGAGTCATAAGTCAGTGCAACGAGTCATAAGTCAGTGCAACGAGTCATAAGTCAGTGAGACGAGTCATAAGTCAGTACGACGAGTCATAAGTCAGTGCAACGAGTCATAAGTCAGTGAGACGAGTCATAAGTCAGTACGACGAGTCATAAGTCAGTGCCACGAGTCATAAGTCAGTGCCACGAGTCATAAGTCAGTGCCACGAGTCATAAGTCAGTGCCACGAGTCATAAGTCAGTACGACGAGTCATAAGTCAGTGCCACGAGTCATAAGTCAGTGCCACGAGTCAAGTCGTGCCACGAGTCATAAGTCAGTGCCACGAGTCATAAGTCAGTGCCACGAGTCATAAGTCAGTGCCACGAGTCATAAGTCAGTGCCACGAGCGTAGGCCACGAGTCATAAGTCAGATGACGAGTCGCAAGTCAGTACGACGAGTCATAAGTCAGTGCCACGAGTCATAAGTCAGTGCCACGAGTCATAAGTCAGTGCCACGAGTCATAAGTCAGTGCCACGAGTCATAAGTCAGTGCCACGAGTCATAAATCATTACGGCGAGAAAATATTTTAGCATTTTCTCAATTATTTCTACCATAATTACCATAACTATTAACATCCCTCCACATAACTACTAATAAAACACTCATTAAAATTTTACCATTGCTTCTTACCATTTTAATGCATTTACAATACGGGTTATTTATTGTTTAAGTGGAAATAAAACTATCTACTGTAATTAATAAAGGCGTCATGCTCGACTATAACTTACCTGGCGTGTGTGTATGTTAGTAATATATATTTTATCTTATAGTTCTATCTAAGGCGAGAAGCCAACTAAGGAAGCCGGGGGCATTAAAAACAATACAGTTTATTATTTGGATATTCATTATATAGTGTATATACAAAGTGTTTGGACGTCAGTGTGTCAGTGTGTGTGTGTGTGTGTGTGTGTGTGTGTGTGTGTGTGTGTGTGTGTTTAAGCTTTTTGTATGTATGTATGTATGTATGTATGTATGTATGTATGTATGTAGGTCTGTATGTAGGTCTGTATGTATGTATGTATGTATGTATGTAGGTCTGTATACTGTGTTTGTTTGTATGGGCCGCCCGCGGGTGGGTCGTCGTCGGGGTGACAGAGCTGGTTGGTTATAGTAGTAGTTGTAGTAGTCGACGAGAGAGAGAGAGAGAGAGCGTTCGGTCACCCATGCTTTTCACTTGTATAAACTCCGGCCTTCGCGATGGGGGTCTTAAGTACCTCATTTTCTACCTTGTTGGTGTCGATGCCCTGGTCATGGCCCAGGTAGAGACCACGTAGTCCATCACCCGTTCCGACAGCGCCTTCGGCACCTCGTGAAGCTTCATGAACTCCCGCACGTTGTTCAGCATCTCGTGGTACTTGGCCGTCGCTGAAGTCATCTGCTGGATGATGGTGGTCACGTGGCCGAAGATGGTGGCGTAGAGCAGCGCTGTGGCGGGGGAGAGAACAGGTTCAGGGGGGAGAGAGGCTGGGAGAGAGTAGGTTCAGGGGAGGGGTGAGAGACTGGGAAAGCAGGTTCAGGGGGGAGAGAGGCTGGGAGAGAGTAGGGTCCAGGGAGGAGAGAATGGGAGAGAGACTGGGAGACAGCAGGTTCAGGGGGGGGGTCCTGGGGAAAGGAAAAGACTGCCGGAGAGAGCAAGGTGGGAAGGGGGGGGGTAGGCGGGGCTTCCTGGCCAAGAGCAAATGTCTGGAAAAAGTCGAGGACCAGACTGTGAGCCAAGGGCATAAGAGTGAGTGTAGAGGTT